TACTCTTCAGGGGTATCTTCTCCCACTTCTTTCAATTCAGTAATAATCTTGTCTCTGGCTCGACAGGAATTGGTAAATGTTCTCTGTGTGGTACTTGGCGTCGGGCAGATGAAATATCACGATAATCAAGTCTACTCTTCCGATTACCATTTCGTCTATGACACAATATGCTAACATCTCACCCATAAAATTAATATTCACGGAGCTTCGAAATCCCTGCTTAGCAAATACCACAATGTTGATTGTGTTTGTGACGACGCCGAGTAGACCCAGCAGACCACAGAGAACCATAAAGTTCAATATCGACACAATTTGAATTGCCTCATCGCTGATTAAACTGGCAGATTGCTCAGAAAATGGTGTCGTCATTGACTCGATGTTGTTCCCATCCGAAGAGGAAGTGACAGTATAAGATGGCAACTCGGAGGCCTGCATCAGAGACATTAAATACTCTCTGCCTGCATTCTGAGATGTATTGGTGCGTCTGAGTCTGACTGGTCTGAGGCTGAATTCTCCTCACTCACACGTCTCTTTACCTTTTTATACACGTCTCTTTGCCTTTTTTAACAGCAACCTTATTTAAATATTATAGATTTCTGACAGAGAATTAAACCAATGAAATAACGTTCCCTTCTTAGACCTATTTGTTGTTGCTTTTTCTGTTTGTTTTTCGCTTATTACTAGACCCCTGTTCTTAAGGGCACAGAAAAAACACTACATTGGTCAAAGTCATGTGGTAATTATACTTTTTGACATTGCTCTTATTGCTGAGTTTCTAACATTTTCCTGGCAAAATTAGTGTCGTGTGCCTATTATGATTATAGCGTAGTAGCCTATACTTTTTGACTTTCTTTCCAGTCCCACTCATGGCTCTGATCAGCAAACATATAATTATTCGGTACACGTTGTCAACATTCATGGCCGTCATCTCCTTCAAGGTGTAGGGGACAAATAATCATGATCGACCAGCAGCAGTCTAAGATAATGTTGTGGGATGTGTCGATCCATCACACCCCCTCTCCACGCAAATTGTCAGATCGCGCAGCGGGAGATATGTACCTCTAAAAACAAAGAAAGAACGAAACAAAAGTTTTTTAATCATCTTGCCTAAGGTTCTAAGGTTGTTGTCAGAACAAGCATCAATGTGTGTTGTTGTTGTTTGTTGTTTTTTTTTTGGGGGGGGGGGGTTTGGAATATGTATCTAAATAAATCTAAAGGTCATGTAATTAAATTCATGTATGCGGTTGAATGATGCATCTGATCTGATATGTACACTTGGTAAGCTTTACTTTTGTTTTGTATTGATTTTTATGAGAATAATATATAATTTAAATGTTTATATATATATATATATATATATATATATATATATATATATATATATATATATATATATATATATATATATATATATATATATATATATATATATATACCTGAATGTGTTGGACTTAGACAATATTTTTATGGTAAAGGAGTTGTCAGTGCGAAGGGGAGTTGGACTTGGAAAATATTTTGGAAGTAAACAAGTTTTCATTAAGGACAGAGTTGAACTTAGGGGAAAAAATCCTTAGGTAGTAAAGGAGTTGTCAGTTGGACTTAGGAATACTTACTTTTTGGAAGTGAAAGGCATGATAATACCCCGCCTGCTAAAGTCATGGGTCGGACATGGGGCCCAGATCTCTTTGACCATATCTTGCGGTATTTCAACATGTCTACCTTGATACCGCTACGAGTCCAGTCGGAAATCCCACATCTTGTAGACCGCTTCAGTGCCACTGACAG